CTGGTACTCCGTGATCTGCCTCCTGACACAGCTTGGCCTTATTTTGATGACATTTTAATCGGCGGCAACGATTTTTCCGATGTGATGGGGAAGTTGGAGCTGGTTTTGAGCCGGTTACACGCTGCAGGTTTGACTATTAATTTGAGCAAGTGCTCATTTTTCCAGAAGAGCGTTAAGTTTTTGGGCCATGTGATTTCCAGTGAGGGTGTCGCTGTCGATCCAGACAAAATCGACAAAGTGGCGAAGTGGCCTGTTCCGCGCACGGCCAAGCAGCTAGCCTCTTTTCTGGGAATGGCCAGCTACATGCGAAAGCATGTGAAAGATTTCGCCCTCATCGCCGCGCCTCTGCAGAAACTTCTGCACAAGGACACTCGATTTCAGTGGTCCGATGAGGCCCAGACGTCGTTCGACCAGCTGCGTCGAGCATTGTGTGAGGCGCCGATCCTCGCAGTTCCCGACTTCAGGCCTGACTCTGGCACGTTTATTCTCGAGACCGACGCTTCTCTCGAGGCGGCTGGTGCTTGTCTGAAGCAGCGATTTGGTGATCAGGAGAAGGTGATTGCCTATGGCAGTCATCGATTTTCAAAAGCTCAGACCAATTACAGCACCACTAAGAGAGAGCTACTGGCAGTGGTGATTTTTGTCGAGAAGTTTGCCCCGTACCTTCTCGGTCGACAATTCGTTATCCGCACTGACCATTCATCGCTCCGTTGGATAATGAATTTCCGCAACCCTACCGGCATTATCGCTCGTTGGCTTGAGATCCTCGCGCGATTTCAGTTCTCAATTGAGCATCGCCCGGGTGCTGAGCACGTGCTGGCTGACGCCCTCAGCAGACTCCCGGCTGATGACGTCACTGACAAGGCGTGTCAGACTGAGCCGCTCGGTTCTGAGCAGACACTTCGTGTGACTGCGACCGACTGGTCCACCAGCTTCATCAGAGCTGAGCAGGACGCTGATCCAGACATCTGTGAGATGACACGGCATCTGTCTGCGGGCAGAAAGCCAAAGAAGCGCGAGCTCCACTCGCCTGACGCGAGTCAATTCCTTTCGCAGTGGTCACGCTTGCGGCTGATTGACGGAGTACTGTACCGAGTTTACAGACGACAGCCGCATGACTCTGATCAGTTGCAGTTTGTTCTGCCCAGATCTCTGATTGCCGGTACGCTGGCATCACTTCACGCCGGACCAGCTGGAGGCCATTTTGCGGCCGATAAGCTGTTTGAGCAGGTCCGCCTCAGATTCTGGTGGCCCAAGATGAGAACCGCCATTGACGATTTCTGTAAGCGCTGCTCTCAGTGTGGATCCGGGAATGCTCCTATTCCCGCGCCCAGAGCGTCTCTTGGCGAGCTCTCGGCGAGTGAGCCACTCGAGGTTGTTGGCCTCGACATTCTCTCGTCTCTGCCGGAGACGGCCAGTGGTCACAAGCATATCCTGATGGTTGTTGACCATTTCTCTCGGTGGGTGGAGGCTTACCCGCTGAAGACGCAGGAGGCAACTGAAGTTGCATCGGTTTTTGTGAATGAGTTTGTGTCCCGATTTGGTTGTCCCAGACGGGTCCACTCTGATCGCGGAGGCTGCTTTGTTGGGGAAGTAATGAGACTGACTTGTGAGATGATGGGGATTGATCAGTCAAAGACAACTAGTTTTCATCCCCAGGCCAACTCCATCGTGGAGAGGACCAATCGTACGCTGCTGAGCATGTTTTCAAAGTTTCTCGAGAACCATCAGCATGCCGAGTGGGACCGGAATCTGCCACTGTTACTGCTTGGGTTGCGCTCCCAAGTACACCGGTCACTGGGCGTTTCTCCCTATTGTGTCCTGTTCGGGCGTGAGCCTCGTCTGCCCGTTCAGCTTGAGCTCGGTGAGCCGATCAAAGGTCGGACAAAGTCCATCACTGAGTACTTGGACGAGCTCAGATCTAACCTGAGGAGCTTCCACAGTGCGGCTCTTCAGAAGTCGCGAGAGAGCCATAGGAAAAACAAGTGTATTTATGATCGGAGAATTCATGATTTCAATTTCATGCCAGGAGACAAGGTTTATTTACACAAAGGCGTGGTTCCCAGGGGAGCGTACTACAAGTTTCTGAGACCCTGGAAGCCGGCAGTAGTTGTAGACAAAGTGGGAGAGTTAAATTATAGGATACGAGTGCTAGGTGCAAAGTCGACATTGCTGGTCCATCACAATCGTCTCAAGCCTCGAGTGTGTGATGACGTAGATCCAGCGCCGGGACAGTCGACTCCCGCCCCAGTGGGAGGTGGGACTCGCTCGGGCTCTGCGCTGAGGGGTGGAGGTGGCATTGACAGTGCGATAAATGGGTTTCAGTGGAATGGGCATTCAGGTGTACCAGCTGAACCTGTGAATCCTGTCGAGCAGCCAGACCAAGCCCCTCATCCGTTCCTGATCCCGTCTTCTATGCTTTTCACTCCCCAAGTGATGTGTGATACTCAGGCGAGCTCGAGAGATGAGCAGGCGGTTGTGGGTCCCGTGAGGCCACTGCCCGCTCCCCGTAGGTCAGCTAGGAGCACAAAGGGCGTGCCTCCAGACCGCCTGACCTATGACTAGTTTTGCTGTTTGTGTGTTAGTTAGGTGAGTAGAATGCGTGATTGTTCAGCGTGATATTATCGGACAGCAGTTACTGATAAGTGATATGGGCATTGTAGCGGACAGCGTCTGAATTGTATACGAATTCTAGTCGGTGTTGTGCCTTTAGTGAATGAAGGTAGCGCTCGCCTGTGCTTGGAAAGTTTCTGTACCGGAAATGGCTGATAATCATAACGTTTCTGAGGTCGTCATCTAAAGAAGCATTAGTGACATTACTGATGACGCGGTGTGCTTGCTGCGCCTCTGTGACTGTTGGTGATCCGGCTACCGAAGTACGTTTACTCGCGTGTCTTTTTTTTCATTAGGGGGGAGAGTGTAAGTGGTGCACTGTTTAACGCATTATTATTATTTAGTTGTCGCTTTCCTTTTGTCCGGCGGATGTGACGTCCTGCGCGACCTGTCACGTGACCGCCCGGCGCCGACCAATCGCGTGCCGTCCGGCCCTGCGCCGGCCGGGGGTCGGGGCGTGTCCGCGCAGGTGGGCTATTTCCGTGCCGACCGCTGTGAAGTGCACATGGTGATTGAGTGCGTCTGATCTCGAACGGTAAGCGCTGAGTTGTTGATTTTTTTGATTTTACCGATACCCTTTGTTTGCTTTAGTACTGTCTAATTAATTTTGTCTAATTTATTATAGCGTGTGCTGTGTCATAAAACGTTCAAATTATGTTTAAACGTTACTTGGGCCGCTTTACAGGACGCGGTTTGAAGGACGCGGTTTGAAGGACGCGGTTTGAAGGACGCGGGCTTTGTTGGCCAGACTATGGTTGTAATAAATTAGAAGATGACCGACTGCTGTGTTAGCCCGCGTGCTCGAGAGCCGACGCCGACGCCGTCGCCCCGGCCCACGCTTACACTATAACCTAACCTTGAAATGCCAACTTGAAAATTTGACCTCAGGTCAAGATCCTCATCTGACCGGGAAAGGTCTTGCTGCATATCAGTCGATCCGTATCGTCGATACACGTCTAAGGCGTTTTCATCCCTCTGGTATACCTCTATCAAAAGTTATTAGTGAAAAACTGTTAGATACCATTGGTGACCTGAGATAACCTCAGGAGTCAGGGACACAACGAGGGGTCACGGGTGCCATTTTCCAATTCTCTGTGTCACGTTTGCCTGTATTTCGGTGTTTGAAAATGTTCAGGATGGCGTTCGTCCGAAAGAGGCGCCTTTCAATTTTCTCCCGTTGACTTGTAATGGAGAGGGCGCAAAATTGGCCTGACCTAGGGTAACCGATATAAAATTCTGACATATACATTTTGTACATACCTACTGTTGCTTTCATCAATTGCTGAAAGTTTTAAAGTAAAAGCGATCGGTCACTGCGTAGCAATGGCAGGCATTGTAACTTTTTATGAGGTGAGGTCAATTGACGTGACTTGGTGACCTGACTTTTTGTGACCTTGGTCTGACATTTTCACAGGATGTGCAGAAAAGAGGTATGATAAGGGCGCCACCGTTCTTGAGATATTCGCGAAAAACCGATAAGGGTGTTTAGTTAAACACCCCCCCCCCCCACCCAGCAGGGCGCGGGGAAGATAAGTAATGTGATTGCCGATTGGAAGTTCACTCTTGAAATGTGGAACCATTGGCCGCTTTTTGTAGATAAACGGTCCGTTTTTCTCCATTAGTACCACGGGATGGTTTTTAAAAATCAGATGAGGTATGTCATAACTTTCTCCAGAAGTCTGCTTTCGCTTCCAAGTTCCAATCGAGATGACTGCATTTTGAGCGATTTGGATCGTCGTTGCGAGTCGTCATTCGACTAGGTAACAGTTTCCAAGTCACTGTGACGGTAAACACAAGTTGAGTCTTTTATCTGTAGCAAATCATCGCGTCAAATACCTATTTGGTCTCTTATGCGGCCAACGCCCAGACGAACAAATAGACGAATAAAAAGGTAAATGCAGTAGCTCAGTTCACGCTGCGCCCAAAAGGCCATTGCTTGCTTGCTTGCCTCCTTGAAAATGGCTTGCTTGGATATAGTTGGATTTGTACAGTGCCAAGAAACGTTTAAAAAACACTGCTAAACAATATATTCCGTGATGGGCCATGACGTAGGCAGCGGGGAGTGGCAGATCAGTGACGAATCCAAGAAAGGCGGCATTAGACGCTGCGAGGGCGCACTTCTCAAAAGGCTACTCCGATATCTAAAAACGCGTTAGATTTCGCTTCCGTTGCTTTGCAGCTAAACACTCGCTTTCTAATAAAAGGTGTTAAATTTTGTTTTGTGAGGATAGCGACAAAACCTCGTCAATTTCACACGCAGTAGGAGAGTCGAGTGCTCCATTGGCCCACTTTTCGCCAGTGGCAACCATCGGTGATGAGGTGTTCCTCCCCCCCCCCCAAAAAAAACGCCTGGATGTATCCGACAGTCGACACAAGGCTGTACTCACCATACAAAACTGCTGCTGGAACCGTGTCCTTCTGTTGATCTGCTGCTCCGTCGCCCGTTCCTTCGTCGTAAGCTGCTGCAGCTGAGACCGTTTCTCCGTCGTACTGTGCTGCTCTTGAGGCATTATCCCCACTATGCAGTCCTTCAGTTGAGGCCGCTGTTCCTCCAGTGGTTTGCACCAACCCATGGGCGGCTTTATTTCCCCGCACCAGCACCAGCGTCAGCCCCAGCACCAGCAGTGCCGTCAGCGCCCTCATGGCTGCCGCCCTCGCCGCCCGCCGCCGCGGCCTGCTCGCCCGGTCACCGCCGCGCGCCCACTGACCGCCGGTGACGGAGGCCGGTGACGCCGCCGCCGCTGATGACGGAGGCGTCACTCGGGTGACGCTGCGACCCCTCCCCGTGACGGCGGAGAAACTGGACTCTGCGCGACGGCGGCGGCAGCTGACGCCAGGAGACAACATTGGACATGAGGAGACGGCGCTGGACCGGGGGGAGACGACATTGCACCGGGAGATATTGGACCAGGAGACGATTCGGATAGGGGAGACGACATCAGACCGGGAGGAGACATTGGACCAGGAGGAGATGGCATTTGACCGAGGGAGACCACATCGGAACGGGGGGGACGATATTGGACCAGCAGGAGACATTGGACCAAGGAGACCGGCATTGGACCAGGAGGAGATGACATTGGACCGGGAGGAGGCATTGGACCAGGGGAGACCGGCATTGGACCGGGAGGAAATGACATTGGTTAGGGGGAAATGGTATTGAATCGGGAGGAGACGACGTTGTTCTAGGGGAGACGGCACCAGACCAGGAAGAGACTTAATTGTACCGGGAAAAGATCGGAGCGGGACTCGATGCCAGACCAGATGGAGCCGACATTTGACCAGGGGAGACAGCCCTTGATCTACTTTTACAGACGGTACTACATAAGATGTTCCAAAAAGCACGACTGTGCGCTCCTGTTTTAACTGTATTTGCGAAAACGTGGAGAGTGAAGGTTTTTTTTTTGAATACCGCACAACAATATATCTACATGTATCGGTTAGAAACAGTCTGACTAGTCGGGCATACAGACTGCATAGTACGAACTGCAGATCGCATGTGTGTGATAGACGGCCGTCAGTCGTCGGTCACGCCAGTACCAGCTTGACTGACTGTGCGAGAGTTGCGGCGAGAAAAATCGCATCTCCAGGGAATATCCTGGGAACAGACACCGCGATAAAGCGCGTGCTGGCTCCCATTGAGGCGGTCGGCAGTCGATCGTTTCGGGAGAGCGCCGCGGGCGGCACGGATCTGCTGCCGCCGGCACGGGATGATCGCGAACGGCGCTGCTACACTGCCGGCACGAGTCACATGACACGTCTCGCCCATGTTTACAAGTAGCGCAATGTTTGGTCAACAAAGGACAAGGACACCGCTGCATGTGGATTGCCGACTGGAACATGATTGCGATTGCCCAATGCGGATGACATTCGTAACATCTCCTCCGATTCGCCTTAGCTCTCGCTGGACATTGTTTTTGTGGTTGCCGCAATTAGGCTGCTGATGACAGAGCAATGCACCGAGTCGCCTTGCTTGCACGGCAGGCAGCGTCACACATGATGGAGCGCGCGCTACGGATGTGCACGCGCTGGCGGCGGCAGACGCGTCGGGCCGGGTCTCACTCTCTCAGAGGCGCCGCCCCTGACCAGTGACCGGTCGACCGAGCACGTCTCGTCTTCCCCCGGCGGGCCGGCCGTGGGACCTCCTGACCACAACTGGACTGGCGATATACGTCCACGGCATGGCTCATTGGCACCAATAGGACGCAATCAGAAGTAGTAACTATAAGGAAACTCCTTCGACGGTTCAAGGATAACTGGCCTTAGCTCGAGATATTTGCACTCAGTGTGCATCAGGCAGGGCGGCGGCTTGCTCACATTATGAGAAGTCACTCTGCACCGAGTCGCACCCGCTCAGTCACACTTGTTTTCGTCACCGGGCGGCTCCCATGCCCTCGGCCGTCCTGTCATTGGCATATACCATACCCAGTTTGGCAAGGCGGCCAATTACGCACGACCATGCCATCTGGTACTATTGCCACTCGGCGCCGGCCGCCCTCGGTTCTGCTCGGCTGGGCCCGAAAACGGCCGCTCGCACTGCCTCCGATGACGGCACGGGCCGCGAAGGTGCCGCCTCACCGGGGCCGTGCAGACCGGCGGCATTGTTAGCGCTGCATCTGTCACCATGGACAGTGGCGTAACGGCGCCCCGTGCACAGCCGCCGGACGGGCGCACACAATACTCTGACCGCTGCAACAGCACGACGGCCGCAGCGCAACGCCGCGCTAATTACAAAGGTTTGAGTTGGCGCAGCCGAATCGCCGATCATCGAAGTTGGTCGGATCAGAGCGCTATTGCATAAACATAAGATTTACTCCACCGGAGTACAGGTCTACGAGCTTTTGCAAGAAGAAAACTCGTCTCAAGCATGCAAAGTAAGGCCATGCTACGACTTACGTTGCGTACCTAGATGCTAGCCGATGGAACGGGCTAAGTACTAAATTAGCAGCAAGGGTTTCTCACAGTTGAACATGAGCTCACGCGGTTCAGTTTTCCTCACAGACCAGTTGAATGGCACGGGAACACTCCCAGATAAAATACACAAGCAGCCAGCGAACCCAGCATTACACGCTGGACGGCTGGCACCGCCGGATCAGCACCATCGGGTCAGCTCGGTACGGCACCACCGGGCATCAGCTAGGGACGGCACCATCGGGTCAGCTCGGTACGGCACCACCGGGCGTCAGCTTGGTGCGGCACCATCGGACACCAGGCTTTGTACAGCACCACTTGACATAAAACTGTGTGCGACAGCAACTGCATTAAATATCATTTTAAACTCACATTTTATAGCTAGCAGCAATTAAACCAATGAAGTCGTCAAAAGTTGAATAACCTGCCGTTTTTATAAAGAACGGTGAGAAAATGTACCTTCGTTTCTGGTCCAGTCTCTGAACCCTTTTGTGCGTGCCGCGCGGGGCGGATGACTCGTCCAGTGCTTCGTCCACCAGATGTCCAGTCTGGGGCGCGGTGAGAGCGATTGGCGACTGGACACGTCGGTGACGTAACAGTAGCAGCGGGGCGCCGCCGGCGGAACGGGAGCCTCTCCTAGACCCGCGCAGATGAGTCTCCCGGGCGGCGGACGAAGAAATAGTCCGACTGGGTACCTGATTACGATACGCTATGCACGCAAGGATAGAAGTGGTGAAAAATGTGTAAGAGCGCCGGTGGGTCGGGCTGGCCGCTGTCGGCGCGGCCGGCCCGCTGATCAGCTATTGACGCTGCTGAGAGGAGGCCGCTGCTTCTCAATGGGGCTGGATTACCGGGGGCCGGTACGATTTGTTACGGTGTGCTGGAACGTAACCGAGCCATGTGAATTATAGCACGGACTCGAGTCGCGGCACGTCCCGCGTCGGTCATGCCTCATTGCGTCTCGGTGTCGAAACGGTAAAACGATAACATATCAATTGATATTGCTAAGTGAAAGTATTGAGCAACACGATGGATATACCGGGTGGCCCAGAAAAAACGTTCCCAACTTTGAATCAATATTTCTCAGAAAGTGATAAAGATGCAACACTGAAACTTCCAATAGTCAATGCGGCCTATATTTTCCGTGAATGGTATGATTTTTATGTTATTCGGTCAATTACTTTTTAAACGGTTCGTGTTTCTAGCATGCCATGTAAAAATTACTTTTTTGCTCAGATGTTTACTAAAAACTGTGAGTGAACGGGCCACTTCCATCTCGGCACCACGGCCTGCAGCCATGACTGCTACTGACAGCTAGACTCATTGATGGTTCAGGCCGCAGGGTGATACATTCCGGCTAGCTTTTTTCTTTATTCGGTCGATTTACTGTTTGATCTTCTTGAAGGGAGGGCGATGAGCAGTAACCCATGCACCGTGCCACTCCTTCTGCTCGAAACAGGACTTAGCGTTGAAACGAATGGCATCCATTAACACCATTTTGGCTCATTATTTGAATATTTGGCACATAAGTGGGATAAAAAAATATTTAAAATAACAACATAGGGGAAAGTGGGGTAAGACGGTCAGGGTAGGTAAGACGGGCACCCCTTCTGCAGACCAAACCAATAGCGCTACGAGCGAGAAAAATTAGGACCATAATTTCCTTTCCCACTACACACCACCATTGAAGTCTGATGAATTTGTGTTCAGTCGATAATCTTTTATTTTGATTTCTTTAAAACACTCATTTCATTGAAAACATCCATAATGTATTGAGCAAGCTTTTGTGTGCAGCACTATAGAGTTAAAAACTCGCAATCACTTATATTATACTCATATGCCACCAGTGTTCATTTACCGCGGATTTGATTTGTCTGCATCAAATTGTCCACAGAGAAAAATCGTGCTGAACTTCTGACATTGAGTTTGGGGTAAGACGGGCAACTATGAATCCAATGGGTCTGTAATGGTGAAAATATTTTTTTTGCTGTATGAAAAAAAGAACCATTTCTAATAAGAATATGTTCGATTCCGATACTCACAGACATGTTAGCAATATTCCTTCGGCACAGTTTATTCTCGAATAATGAATGTGAAAAACGGTTCTACATGGCTTCTGAACTAGGGCCTATATACGAGCATACGCCTTCTGCACGAATCTCGTATACTGCCATTTCCGAAGCACTTGAGACCAACGAGCGACTGTATCAATGCGGCTAATCTCGGGCATTTGCTGCGAGCTGTGCTGGTCGGTGAAAGAAGCTGGCCGTCTTGCCCTACCCATGTGACCGTGTTACCCCATGGGGTGGGGTAAGACGGGTTTTTGCAAGGTTTTGCAAAAATAGCTGCAGTTTATTTGTTGAATCAGGTATAAGTCTCATCTTCTGGCAAATGAAAGTAAAATGTCTAAAAAAGGGTTTCACTCAGTTTCCCATTTGTATGATGTTTCTAACCGGCCGAAAATGGCTCCAAAGTTAAGGTGTCCGTCTTACCCCACTTTCCCCTACGTGCTGGTTTCATTCACGTGCTCTATTTTACTATCTTTTTCTAACGTAGTACGTCCAAGCCAATCATCACTTCCGTTCAACATCGGCAAAAAAAGCAAAAACATCTTACTTGATTCAACATAAGATTGCTGGCTTGAAAATGATGGTACAGTGTTACAATTTAGTATGCCAATGCGCAAAGAAGTGATGCAAACTTGATGAAAATTTTGGCTCGTTATTTGCACTCCAATTTGAGATATAGGCCTCCAAAGTTGGGAACGTTTTTTTTTTGGGCCACCCGGTATGACCTGTGACTTCACTCATGCGCACAAACTTTCAAATGACGCAGTTCCGATTACTCCTGAATGGTCCTCGCCCCTCGGCTGTTTATCATGACATTTTTGCGTCACCACTGGTCACCATCTCCTGCTGGGTCTCCAGGCGGAATTAGGGATGGGGATATGGATCCATCGATTCGAATTAACTTATCGTGGGGCGGGCGTAACTGCTCTTACGCCGGCACTGCTCGTTACGCGATCATTCTGGAGTTGTCTCGTTCAGGGCGACAGGTTGTCGCCCGTGTTTGTATTGACAAGAGACATGACCATGTATGTAAGTCAGTATATTTTCCATCGTTTATTGTTGTTACGCTGTTGGACGATGACCACCTCACAAAGTTCACAGGTCGCCTGACATCACTGACAGCTAATTGCCACTGGCCACACCGCCGATGATGCCTTTCTGAACACGCTCGGACACTAGGGCCACTGTCGTCATGCTGGACCGTTCCAACATCCCAGCGTTTCATAAATTCTGCCCCGACGTTAACAGCTCACCAGCCAGGTTAGGTCAGACGATATAACGTCACAGAGGTCACGGGTGTTGCGCTCAGAAGGGCGGGAAGGCGTCGTAGCGACAGTCGACGTTGTACCACCAGTCGCAGGTGCGACTGATGGGACTGAAGACGGTGCCGGCCACGCAGAGGAACCGGTGGTGGCCGTTCTCGTGACAAAAGTGCCACACCTGCCGACACAGGGGGAGCTGTCGCTCAGACACAACGCTATAGCACGTCAGTACTCAGTTGTGGGCAGCGGCTGGGTACTAACCCAAAACTCCATAAACAGATCTGTCCTCTGATAATTCACAGAAATTAGAGAAATGAGTGTGGCTGAGTCTCACCTGACAGCGAGTCTCGAAGTCGGCGTACATGCCGGGCACCTTGCCGCGGCAGCTGAACCCCGTGACCGGAGGCTTTGAGAAGGTCGGGTAGTCGCGGCCCGGCCGGCCCGGCACGTTATCTCTGCCGGCAGGGGTCGAGGTGGCCGTGCTGCCGTCGTCAGCGACTCCGGCGCTACCTGTGTCGGCTTTGCTGCCGAATCGGGCGCCACCTGTCCCAGGCCGCATAGTGGGGCTGAAGGTGGCGGAGGGCGACCGCTTGCGCCCGCCAGAGGCGCGGCTGTCGGCGGTAGTAGAGGAAAGGGCTACAATGGGCAGACCCCAGAGTGGGATCGTTCCGGACGGCACTGCAGCCGTCGTCTTACGCTCGGCTGTAACAGACGAGGAACTTGCTTCGTACGAGGTGTAGGACGACTCATGGGCCAAGATATCCTGATCGTCTTCGAACTTGGTCAGCAGCTTTGGTTCGTCTTCACCAATGCCAGATTTGGATGTAACGGTACTGTCGAGTTTACGCCAAACATGCACACCGCCACTCGCTCTTGGGCTTAGGGTTTGGTCCAGAAAATTGCTTTGTTTATCTGCAGCTAGAAACGTGCTGTGCTCCTGTGGTCGGTTTTCCCTACCGCTATCATTTGCACTATTCCCAGTGCTGGCTTTGGCCGCTCGGTCCGCCAGCCCTGCAGCTGGGTAGAGGGCAGCACTGAGGTAGGTGGCGCCACCCGCTCCGGCCGGTACCCTCCCTGGCCCGGCCCGACGTGCGGCCGTCCGCTGCTGTCCTCCCTGGCTGTGTCCGCGCCGCGCCAGCAGCCGTCGGGACTCGGAGAGCAGCACGCTGAGCTCATCCACCAGCGGCAGGGTGTGCGCCGGTGACCGGGGTGGGGGTCGGGTGCTGCCGGCGGCGGTCCGGTCCCGCAGAGGGCGGCCCAGATAGGTCACCGTCTGGGCCGAGCTGACCGCCAACGTCCCCGCAGTCACTGAAACAGCAGACAGGGTTCAGGGAGTGAACTGAGAAGGTATTCGCACGCTGCTTTATCATGGATTTCATACGCAGTGCAAGAAATGCGCAAAACAATATCGTTGCCATGTCAAGATCATGTAGGTAGGTATACCTAATTCATTGCGATTTGCTTGAGTGGAAAGCACAAAAATGTAGGCTGTCAAAAAATGTATGATTTTGTTTGACAACGCCTCGTTTTTTACACCAGTGGATCGTCTTTTACCTCTTTATTTATCATTTGTTCCATGTTTATGTGCTGTTATTTGATACGCCGACGATTATACCGGCGGAGTCTGACGGATGGATGGAATAACGGTGGCGGTGACGTAATGGTGTGATCCGGGGCGTGATAGCAAAACAATGACGGCGATAAGGGCCGGCTGACGAGTGTCGAGAGCGCGGCACGTATTACGCGCTGTCTGGCCAGCCGGTTACTGCTAATTGTCCAGAGTGGGGCCACCGCAGGCTGTGCGCCTGCGATGGCCCCATATCAGGAGGCCGTTTTATACGGCTCTCCGGCTCCGCCCACAGCGTCAGATTGAGATGTTTTCATGTTTCATTAATGACGGTCGTTGCGGTCCCTTAGTTCCTACCACTGACACTGCTTGGATACTGTAATTTTCTGTTCATGCCTATTTTTTAGTTATCCAGGTCTCCATCCCCGTTTCTCGGTCAGGATCAGATTACCGCCTCGGTCCGTCAGACTGCAGGGCCTACCCCTCGCTGTCGGCGAGTCTATCAGGCAAAGGAGCCCCACAGCGAGTCGAGTTGGTCTATCGGTCATATATGGAGCCCCTCACTCAATGACACACGTCGACTCGTTCCGGTGACAGGATACCTACCAGCCAATCCATCGGGATGCCATTTTGTCCGCAGGTCTGTATGTAGGTAGGTCTGTCGGTCCGCAAAGAATCTCTCCTTGTCTGTCGGTCTGTCGATCCGCTGTAAACGTCTCCCTATCAGTCAGTCTGACGGTTCGGGAGCTGCCCCCCGCTGTCCACCGGGAGCCCTCCGGGCACCTGTGACCTTACCCCCGATCGCCGGCCGGCCGGCCGCCATCAGCCCGGTATCTGATGGCCACGGAGGTGGTTATCAGACCCGCGCCCCAGGGAACCCGCCGCCACCGAATGCCGTTCTGTTAAAACTCGGCCCCGGGCTCAGTTATGAGCGGTAGGATCACTTTTGTTCAAGTTTAATTGGCTGAAAACATGGCAATATTATGTGAGTCACCTGGAGGTGCTGATTAGAACGTGCCAAGCACCAATGCCAACACGAGCTGCGATCTAAAGTTAGCTCGCCTGCCCTCGGTGGATAATCACCAGAACATATCACTAGCAGATGGAGGGTCTTACAAGCGAGATACAACCGCGCACGTTTTGAACTGTGGTAATTAGGGGCTATTTTGTGACACTAAGAGTATGACATATTTATATTCACTTCTCCGCCCACTGCACTGCAGCGCATCATTTAGGCTACTTGCTAGGTTCAGACGCCAAACAGCCGATTCCATTCGAAATATTTATGTCAAGACATGTATCTAATCAATGATTATTTGTTTTTTCAAGCATCTGTAAAAGGGGCGCACGACTGTGTTGTTGTTTAACTAATTTATGAATTCGAAATCCCTGTCAAACCACTTTCAGTGTTCGGACATTTCAATGGGACGCTTCGTTAGCATACCATGTTCTTGCCTGCTATATCGCATTGAAATATGTCTCATATATACTACATGGGTATTTATCAGCTTTCAGGCTTCAGATCAGGGCCCAATTCAAACGGAAATGCCAGCCGACAAGTGCCACTTTTCCAAATTGTCAGTTTTCAAAGAGACACTTTTGGTAACATTGGTGTCGGTGTGTAAGGATGGCTATATGAACCCGTTTTCTGGGTCCCCCTTTCCAATAAGAGTCCCTTAGCGGCAAATGGGTTCTATATATGAACTGGGCCCAGGTCGGCCGGAGCCGCGTCAGTGAGGAGAGCAGCCGCGTGAGTCTCACTCAGGAGGGAGCTATCGGTGGTGAGAGGAGCCCCATGAGCCCGGCTGCACCCGTCCTTCCCAGCCCCGTGCGTGAGCAGCCGGTAGTTCCGGGAGCACGACACCATCCGACATCGACAACTTACCCAGGCAGAGGTGGAGCAGTGCAAAGGTCATGGCGACCCGACCCCTCTCAGTCTGCACTCTGAAGGTCGGGGAGCAGGCCGAGGTGCACTGCAGGTCCGGGTCTGATCCAGATCACCGTCTTCGGGACCACCCGAGTCTGAATCTGGTCCACCGGGTCCAGAACCAGCTGAGGGACCCTCTGAGTCCGGGTTGGATCCACAGAGTCCGAATCCCCGTCTGCAGATCACTTTGGGCCGGCGTTAGGTCCACAGGGTACACCCTCCGCCGGCGACTGACAACTGCGCCCGCGGCGTTCTTTCAAGGGGCTTATCACCGGCCGGCGATACCATTGTGATGCTAACTGCAGAGTCCACAAGCACAAAAAGTCGCCACGTTGGCGGAGCCGGGCGACACTCGGAGAGAGCAGGGGTGACGGTCCTTTGAGACTCGAACATATGACCATTTTACGTTATGGGTGTCGCTAAGTTATGGCGAGATCGTATTCGTCGATAACGCGACACCTTCGCGTAGTCCTTTCTAAAGGCGGACCAACCTCCTGATTATAAAGACAAAAGAATGCCTTCCTATACTAAAAACAAACAATGAAAGAAGTGTTAATTCGTCGACAGATCGAACAGAGAGATAACACCCAGCCGCCGCGTCAGCACGAGGCGATTTAGTGTGTGCACCAGTTGGGACAGATGTCCCCGTCCCGTCCGGTGTCCCCGCTGCGGGCGCGTGCCACGAATTGTTTCCAGCTCTGAGACAATGGCCGCTGCTCTAAAGCTGAACTAACTTTCAAATTAGTGGAGACTTGTCGGACCTTGAAGAACTTGTTATTTGCTAATGTTAATTGTGTGACATATCCTGTGAGTTTGAACCGGCTTGCGACAATAATATGCCAAAAGCAGTCCGCACATCAACTGTTAACTAATGGCAACATTCTGCCGATGTGATGTTAGGGCTTAGCCTTGTAACAAAACGTCATAAATATGGCATAAACATTTGCTTTATTCTGAAGAAAGTTGTAATATGAAGGTTGAACACAATGCAGTCTGCAATGCTCCCGGTAACATGACACCTATGACTAGCGAAGCAATGACAATGTGATCCTATCCCTTAGCAATGTTGATGCATTACATATGTTGATGCATTGGAACTATATGCTCACAACTGAAGAACCAGTGGTTCGGTGATTTTTCTAGACTGACCGGCTGGATCGCTGGTTGGCTAATTTAGACCAACATTTCGATAGACTTGACCTTCCAGATCGCCGCAGCCCCGCTGTTAGTGCCTGTTGGCATCAAATGGCTTTGGTGATTCGATACGATATCAACTTAATCGTAATTTAACATGTATTTTAACCTCGCAAGTGATTTCCATGTCAATACACCGTCATGATTTACTAATCACTTTTCATTTCGTTTCGTTATTCTTCTGATTTCTTCGTTTTACTTCGCGTGTTTCTTCATTTGTTTCGTTTCCTATATTATATTTATCGTTTCGAGGTTTGCCATTCAAGCCATTTCAAAAATTTTCTTTCTCTTCCTTTTTGTCTCTCGAGTCTACCTAAATTCGTTAAACTTGTCATTTAAATTTTCACGAGCGGTTATCGCTGCAAAGCCGTCGGGTCCTGGATTTTATGCAATTGTGACTCTTGGTTTTGCTGCACCAACACCCTCCCCTTGAAACATCTATGAGGTTTCAACAACTTCTTGTTTGTATCTTCACAAGCTTCGTCACTGGGCGCTCGAAGGTCGTGCCCCTGACCTTCAGCTTGACGGTACGAACCAGCCCATCGGCGCTGTGCTTCACCCCTAACACTCTACCTAGCGGCCACTGGCCTCGAGGTACATCATCATCTACAAGCAGCACCACATCGCCCACTCCAACATTTGGCCTATCTTTAGCTGTCTCACTGGGTCTTTCTTGTAGTAACGGCAAGTACTCTGTTCGCCAGCGTGTCCAAAACATACTAGCGTAATACGCAGCCTGTTTCCACCGTTTACGACTATCGCAGTCAGACCTATCAAATAAGTTGGTGGGGACTAAATCATACCCATTGCCAGCGAGCAGAATGTGGTTAGGGGTAAGTGGTGGAATGTCACATGAGTCGGCTGAAACTGGCGTCAATGGTCTGTTGTTTATGATGGATTCGACCTCGCACATAATCGTCTGCAACGTTTCATCCTTCATCGCTCCATTGATCACGGTCTCGAGAAGTCTCCGGATCGTTCTAATTTGCCTTTCCCACGCACCTCCATGATGGGACGCTCCTCCCACATTGTATATCCAGTCGATTTCCATTGTCAGCGCCTTGTAGTGGATCCAGTCTTCGTTTTGCTCTTGTCTGTGCAGTTCTCGCTGTAACTCATTATTGGCTCCCACAAAGTTTGTGCCCCTATCCGAACGTAAAACCTTGACGTGACCTCTCCTGCAAACAAATCTTTTTAGGGCGCAAATAAAAGAGTCGGCAGACAGATCATCAGCTACTTCAAGGTGCACGGCTCGTATGGATAAACAGGTAAAGAGCACGCCATAACGCTTAATCTGGCCCCGACCATGTCGCACATAAAATGGCCCAAAGTAGTCGACACCCGTTCTTGTGAATGCCTTTTCCAAAGCCATTACCCTGTCTTCTGGCAAGTTTGCGCATTTTTGCACTTCAACTGGATGAAATTTCTTCTGGCAGAATACGCACGATTTCAACATCCTTCTAACCGTGGCATTCGCTTTGAGAATCCAAAAGTTCTTCCGCAAATCAGCAAGAACATGCTGCCTACCAGCGTGCCCAGAAAGTCTATGAGTGTCGTGCACAAGCATCTCAGTGTAACTGCTGCGAGAAGGCAAAATGACCGGGTGTTTAGCGTTGTAGGTCAGGTCAGCGTTCTGCAAACGTCCTCCAACTCGCAACAATCCATTTTTGAGGAATGGATCCAACTTGTGCAGGGTGCTTGATGCACGGACATGATTTCCCGCGCGAAGTTGAGTAAAGTCTTGAACAAATGCGTTAGTCTGAACATATCTGATGATTTCTTCCTCAGCTATCGTAAGATCCGAGTTCGTTAAGCGTGAGGAGGGGCCCTCCCCGTGTACAATGCGCGATTTTAGAAACTTCTTTACCTTGAGGATCCAAGCTACCGCACGAATGAGCCTTCTTCGATCGCTGTAATGCTTGAGAAGCTTTTCAATCGGGTCACTTAATGTATGTTTCACGTTTGTTTCGTCCCTCAGAAGATCATTGCTCACACCAATAGAACTCACTAAAACTTTAAGTTCTGGGTCGTCTTCCTTTAACTCCAGTAGAGCTGAAGGTTTTTTGGGCCAGTCCTTTCTCGACTTCCACAAGAATTCTGGTCCTGTCAACCACCGATCACTTTGTTCACCCCTTGAAACATCATCGGCGGGGTTTAGAGCACTTGGTACGAACATCCACTGCTCTTGAGTAGACCCGTCGTGGATAATAGCTAACCTGTTAGCCACGAAGGTGTGGAATCGCGTTTTCCTGTTCGAGATATAGCGCAAGACTGTCGTGCTATCCGTCCAGAATAGCTCCTGAGTGACCTTACAAGGTGACCCTGCATAAATAATCGCATCAGAGAGTAATGCACTGATTCTTACAGCCGTGACGGCCGCCATCAACTCGAGACGGGGGATGGTCACAGTCTTCAGTGGAGCTAAATGTGCCTTTCCCTTCAGAAATGAGCAATGGATATTCCCCGCTGTATCAACAATACGGACGTAAGAGACAGTGCCATATGCCCACTCGCTGGCATCAGCGAAGTGATGCAGCTCGCACGATACGATGCTTCCAAAAGTTGTTGGCTTAATGCAGCGCGGGATCGATATGAGACTTGTTTTAGAAACATTCATCAGCCAAGCTACCCACTTTTTCTGCTCTTCTTCCGGGATTTCCCCATCCCAGTTAACCTGTTTTCTGGCAAGATCTTGGAGGATTCTTTTTCCTTGTAGAATAGTCGGGGCAATCATGCCCAACGGATCATAGAGTGAGCTGACAGCGGACAATAGGCCTCGCCTGGTCTTTGACCTTGAAGTGAGACTCGACATGTCTAAGGAAACAGACAAATCATCTTCCTCAGTTTTCCATATTATACCAAGTGCCAGTTCATCGGGGTGATGCTCATTTTCAATCAAAGCTTTTCTAAGTTTCTTGGACCTGTCATCCGATGCGATAGAATTGACCACCGTCCGGCTGTTGCTCGAGAATTTTGTAAGATTAAAGCCACCCTTGCTACATAACTCCTTGAGCTCATGAGCTAGACCAATAGCTGTCTGCTCGTCGGGAGATGACTTCAGTACATCATCAACATAAAAATTGTGTCGTATTGTGCTTACGACTTCTTCGGAAAAATGAGTTTTGTTATCTTCGGCTGTTCGCCTGAGTGCATAGCAAGCAACGGCAGGAGACGACTTGGCGCCAAAAATATGCACCTTCATTCTGAACTGTTGTAATTCGTTTGACGTGTTTCCATCTCGCCACCAGAGGAACCTGAGTAAATCTCTGTCTGACTCGTGAACATGTACTTGATTAAACATGCCCTCTATGTCAGCTATAAAGGCGATTGGCTCTAATCGGAAACGTAGAAGCACATCTAGAAGTGTGTTGGTTTGGTCTGGGCCCTGAAGCAAGCAATCGTTCAGTGATATGCCCTGAAATTGAGCGGCACAGTCAAAAACCACCCGTATTTTGTCGGGTTTGTGCGAGTGATAAACGGCATGGTGAGGCAGGTACCACACCCTACCATCGTTTCTATTTTCACTTCCTTCTGGAACACGTTCTGCAAATCCTTTCTGTATCATTGTGTCCACATACGACATGTAATCGAAAGCGAACAGTTTGTTTCTTTCCAATCTGAATTTTAACTTGTTTAACCGCGATCTTGCAATTGAGATATTGTTCGGTAAAACCAAACTTTCTTCAGTCAGTGGTAAAGTAATACTGTAGTGATGGCCGTCATGTTCAATCGAAGTATTGACTCTTTGGAGCCACAACCGATCTTCTGCAGGCAAACCTCTCCTGGTACAGTGAAGGCTTTCTTCATATTCGTGGTTGTATAGAGATTTTACCATTTCTTCTAGCGTTGTGCTCGCGGTTACGTTTGTCTTGAAGATCGCGGTGTTTGCCGTCTGACCTTCCGTCTGATTTATTCCACATACTATCCATCCAAATCTTGTGAGTATTGCATACGGACTGTTATTTATGCTTGGTATAACCCTCAGTGGTTCCATTGCTAAATATGCATTGGCTCCCAATAACAAACCGACTTCTGATACATTAGAATCTGGGAGATCAATGCCTCGTAAGTGTTCCCACCTTTCAACATCTGCAACCTTAGGGAAATGACCAGAGTCAACGGGAATACTTGGCAGAGTGTAGAGGGGTGGCAGCTGCAAAGTATTGAAGCCCTGGAGGTCAGTAATGGACAACCCCTCTGCTATCTGAGTCGGGATAGAAGCGGCACCATGCACCGTGGTCAGCGACAGCTGCCGACCGGGACGGTGCTCCATACCGAGCAGGCGCAATAATGACGTCGATATAAACGAATGCGTTGAACCACTGTCTAGGAAGGCGTATGTAGTGTATTGTCCCGAAGAGCTTTTGATCTTCACAGCCACCAACGGCAGCATAGCACCCCTTTTGAGTTCGTCTGCTGCGACACGGCAAGTGGTCGCATTGGCTGTGTTTGTATCCTCTGGCAAAGGCGGCTGTTTAAGCAGCGTTTGCCGATCTTCTAAAGTGCGATCATGCAGCGCCGTCGGATGATTTCGGTTACATAGCTGGCAGCTCACTGGTCTGCGACAAAATGAACGTCTATGGCCTCTACGGAGGCACCCAAAGCATAAAGCATTTTTCATCACAAATTGTTTTCTCTCTTCAAATGGGACGCTGTTCAGCCTGTTACACTCCGTAACATTATGCGTTTTCTCCCCGCAAAACAGACACCCGCTGTCATTCTGAGACTGGGTGCGCGTTGCCGCAACTAAAGGTTTCTGATAACTTTGGGAAAATAATTCCCCTTCGTTCTGCTTTGCACTTGCTCCTTCACGGCTGCTATACATATGTTGTCCAAACGAAGCGTTTGTGGCTATTCTGGCTTCTCGTGCTACAAATTCAACCAGGTCTTCGAAGACTGCTGGCCGCCCCTGATACTCTTCCAAATCGTCTACACGACGTCGCCATCTACTCAGGAGTGGTACCGGTAGCTTCCTTGTAATAGTACGCAGGGTTCGAGGATCATTCATGAAGCTGCACGAGCTTCCTAGTGCATTCTTACAACTGAGGAGCAACAACGAGAACTGGTCCAGCTCTTCTCCATTTTCTGCATTGAGCTGTTCCTGGCTACTTATTCTATCAATAAAGGCAGCTGCGATTGTGCTAGGCTGGCCATACCTCTTGTGCAAAATCTGCATCGCATGTTGATACCCGTCTTCAAGATACATGCAGCTCTCAACAATACTGTGCGGCTTACTTCCCGGAATTATGTTTTGTTCCAGGTAATATAACTTTTCACTGTCATCATCCAATTTAGAAGCGATCTTCATTTCGAAACATCGAATAAACTGAGCGAACTGAGTGGTATCACCCCCAAATTTCTTGATTTCGATCGGAGGCAGACGCATCAACGCTGCCGTCCTTTCTCTTTCGGTTATTAAAGCAGCAGATGTGCCTTCATGAGCGCGGCGACTAAACGCGGGTGGTGCTTGCTGAGATATATCCGGCCGCAAGTTTGGGACGTACTGGAGTGTAGGGTTAGCGTGAGAGTGAGAGATGCGAGTGGTTTCCGTCTCATGTGAGGGTAACGAATGAAAGCTCGCTGGTAATGGGCTTACATCATCATCATTTCTATACGTCTTTAACGCCTGCTCTCTAGCAGTTAATTCATTTAAGGTCGCCTGAATTTCCAGCAGCTCCTGTCCACGTCTAAGTTCAGCAATTTGACTCTCAATGAGCTGTTTTTCTTTTAAGGACTTTAATCTTTCGATGAGAGCGGCTCTATCGGCTGCCTCCTCTGCGCGCCTTAACTCAGACTTAACATTGGAAGGAGACACAGAAGCAGACGGGGACTCAACACGGGACACACTGTCATCGGGATGAAGTGCACTATTTTCCAAACATGGCTCGGCATCTAACGTATTCCGCGCTCCTAGCACATTTACCAATCTATTTACAAGCGTGGCCTTGTTTCCTTTACAGCTAAGACCGCGTGCCTTCAGCATCATTTTAAGTTCAGACACTTTCAAATTCTCCATTGTCTCGTAACGGTACGCTAAGAAACTAGGGTGAAGCACAGGCCAACGGGTGTCCAAGTTATGCAGTTGATGCCGTTGATTTAGTTGCCAGGGATTATAATTGCTGTGTAGACCTTACCTCGATAGCAGGTTTGACAACTTTTGTATGAATTCGAATTAGCAATAGCAGCGTGCTATTAATCTTCTTGACAATTCTTCAAACAATTCTTCTTGACGGAACAACACCAGGCTCAAATAATATCGGGAGTAATGATAGCTTCAATGTAGACTCAGCTGAGCCTAAAACTGTGAATATTCGACTTTCAGTTCTTGATAACATTTATTCTTGCATTGCACTATTGTTGATATAGACACCTCGAAACTGTTAGTGCCTGTTGGCATCAAATGGCTTTGGTGATTCGATACGATATCAACTTAATCGTAATTTAACATGTATTTTAACCTCGCAAGTGATTTCCATGTCAATACACCGTCATGATTTACTAATCACTTTTCATTTCGTTTCGTTATTCTTCTGATTTCTTCGTTTTACTTCGCGGTTCTTAGTGTTTCTTCATTTGTTTCGTTTCCTATATTATATTTATCGTTTCGAGGTTTGCCATTCAAGCCATTTCAAAAATTTTCTTTCTCTTCCTTTTTGTCTCTCGAGTCTACCTAAATTCGTTAAACTTGTCATTTAAATTTTCACGAGCGGTTATCGCTGCAAAGCCGTCGGGTCCTGGATTTTATGCAATTGTGACTCTTGGTTTTGCTGCACCAACACCCGCACTGCCCTTTCTGCAGCAGTGGTGGATTCCAGCTCGGTCTCAGTGTGTGAGAGCGGCGGAGGTCACTCCCAGGGGTTTCGCTCGGTCCGATCGGCCCCTGTCACCGGCCTTGGCGGCTGTCCGCAGACTGGCCCTGGCGTCAGACGGAGCCCGGAACTGTGCACTGCACCGGGCCGGACTGCCGAGATTAGGATGAACTATCGGCACCGGGGATGTGTCACCACATTCCAGAGCAGGGGTGATCATTCAGTCATTAATTAATTTGACGTCCTTATAAGCTGGTCATTGTAGCTCACATTTCTTTAGGTGAAGCGACAAGCGTCATAATTTCTGGATTCTTACATTTAGTACCAAAAATCCCAGTGAATTGAACAAATGAGTGCAATGATGTTACAATGGGCATTTTTCTGATATTTTTTAACAAGTTCAACAGAGAATCTCTCGAGACACGGGTCTGGAACTGGGTCAGCGGCTGGTGGGCGGTCTGGGCGCGGTGTGGGCGGGGGCGGGGGCGGCCCCTCCCAGGGCGCGGTCGGCCGCCGCCGCGGGCGTCTCCGCGCGCGGGGTCGCCCCGCCGACGAGCCCGGCCGCCTCTCCCACGGCGATCGGCTGAAAGTGAAAGTGGACCATATACTGAGTTGGAGCCGGCGCTGCTCAGCTCGGTGCGCGCGCCCAGCTGATTGGCTGCTCGGCGGAGGCTGCTCCCGAACGGTATTAGCTGCCGGTGCGTCGGCGCAGTCTGGGTCGCAGTGTGTCCGTGGCCAGTCGCAGTCTCGGCCGCAGAGTGTCCGTGGCTAGTCGCAGTCTCGGCCGCCGCAGCAGACACAGCAGCAGCTCAGGATGAGGTGCTGTTTGGTGATAACCGCCCTGGTGGCCGCCGCCGCAGGCCAGGTGAGACCGGTACAGCAGGGTGAGTGCCGCGGCGTGACCTGACCCTGCAGCGGTGACCCGGCGCGCCTTTGCATGTGCCTTTTATGTTTGACGTTTGAAGTTGCTATACAATTGATATGTATTGTATTGTAGGTACTCGTACTCAGCCAATTGATCTGTATGTTTTTAACTCAGTAATGAGTTCAAACAAGCATCACGCATATTGCATTAGGTCGAGTCGTTCTGCTAAGTACGCAATGCTTTGCTCAACATCAATAAGCTTGGTATCAATCAATGGTTTTGTTGATCAACAAAAAGCTCCGTTTGTATACTCCAAGGTCAGGTGCTGTTACCTGGCAACCGGGTGCATGCATCATGCTAAAATTGCTATTGCTAAAACAGGGGGCATAAAGCGGAGTAAATTTCGTTGAACCGTTTTTCATCCTTTTAAATAAAGAGATTGCACTGCTATTTTTACGATAGGCGTCAAGCTGCACAGTGCTCATGGTTCTAAATTTGTCAATTTCTTCGATGAGGCAAATTTGAGTATATGGTCGTTTCTCGTTACATTGTGATAGCTTAGCATGGACACTCATTTCTTCGATGGGCGATATAACATATATGTTATCAGGTCGACAGCTTCAGTGGTCGCCATAGATGCAAAACAGTTTGTGTAAGGCACATAAAGCAACGACTGTGCGCCTTTTGAATCGTCTTACCATGTATGTTTTCGCTTTGTCGGCTTATGAACTGTAGCCACGGCAATGCTATTCATCAGATCTCCAAGTTTAGGCGTTGCTGGGAATTTATTATGCGCCACTGATGCCAGTGCTAGTGTAGCATACGAGTATCATCCTGTTTGCATGCGGTGCTACCCGAATTCATATCAATTCTATAAGAACTAATTGATAATGATCTGTGCCAGACACTTATAGTAAAATGAATTCCATCCCGCTGTCATGTGACATGCTTGCTCGCTGGCGCGTGTTTTTATGCTGAGCAGCCATGGCCGTTCACTTCCGATGAAAGTGATCTGCTGTCGCTTGTGTGACTCGAGCCAGTTTGTTTCGACTTCTGGTCTGTGAATGAGAGGGTATGGGACTTGCTTGTTGACGTTTTCTCCTCTTGAGTCTTGCTATCAAAAGAGTGGGAATGAAATGCCACTCACTCTTTCAATGGTTGCTGTGTTTTCTCGTTGATGTTTGCCGTAAATGTTTTGATCAAAATATTTCTTGACTGCGTTAGAAGTGCAACAGTTTGATTTCGAGTACTAGCCAGAGCCCAAGATGGCCTCATTAACCATTATTTGGTTGAGACGATCTTTTTTTCCTTCAAATACCATTACAAAAGTTACACAATAGTATAACTATTCTATTTTTATATCTATATCTTGCAACATTACCTAAGGTCGCAGAATATCAAGACTTTAAAGAAATATTCAAAATTAACTGAAACAATGAATTGTTTCACAATCCGTTCAACCTGAACTGCCGAAGTGCTCTTGCCCTCTATACCTACGTCATCACGCCGTCGGCCGCCCCGCCTCCGTGCCGGGCGGCGGTGCCTTCAAACGCGCGCGCTGCCGGTCAAGGTCAGGCCACCGCCCGCGCCGCGGAGTGTGGGCGTGACGCTCCCCGGTGGCGGACAAAAACTCCCGGCCCGCCGCCCTGGGACGTCGGCGGCACGCCGGTTGGGTAACCTGTTTGCGTAAAGTGCCGTCTCCGAGCAGCTGGAGAGAGTGACGGACGAAACGGTACCGCCCTCATACCAGCGACACTTGGGCAGCTAACGCAGAACAATGGAGCATTGCTCACTCCACATACTTCATCTATTGTAACAATTACTCATCGCAACTTGCAAGATTGAACGTAATCCATTACAAGAACTATTTCTAATTCCAGTCAGTGCAACATTCAAGCAATACCTATCTGTGTACGCTTGTCGCTTACCCCATTTTCCGAATATATCATTAGGGTGAATAGGTCAAAAACGCCCCCCTTAAGCGCGAAACCTTCTGACACTCAACCCAACACAGATTACTTAAACCTTTGGGCACCATCGTGTAGCTCATTCTTTTTACTACGCTTTGAGACCAAGAAAAGACACCTGCGTGTGGTATTTAAGCCCCCAAAAAGGTTTTCGCATACCCTTACAAAAGGGCGTTTTGCCCCATACCCTGGGTAATACGCCCACACCCATGTGCAAAGCGCCCCCACCCCATCCATCAACAGAAAATGATGAACATGGCAGAACTTGACGTCATTCTGACGTCATTTGTGGTCAACCTATCATAGCCTTTGGGATGAAATTTTGCTGCAATGTGTAAAATTGATGCCCGGAGGAGTCCTGAAAGTTTGGTGACGATATCTGCAGTCGTTTAGGATATATCATTAAAAAAGGACAGGGAGAGGCCTTTTCGGCCCCGACCTACAGGGCGCTACCCTGCACTCTCACCACCGTGCAAAACGCCCCCACCCCCTTTCAGAAAACTGGGGGCGTCTTGCCCCATGCATCGAGTAGGCGTCTTGCCCCATCCACTCCATTTCCGGTCAACAAAATATTGACAAAAAACGCGCCACTAACGCCGCAGCATAATACGTTCAACAGAATGACAATAAAACGCAGTTTTGAATGATATGCACAATAGCAAGTTTTGTGATATAAAGAGGGCATCAAAATATTAGGAATCTTCTGTAAAAACAACAAAAACAACACCCAAAACCAACATCAGCACCTACCCACGCTGCTCCTCAAGACGCAGAACCGGAAATAGAGACCTACGTAAACAAGCAGCTGACTGTTCTGAAAGACAGGATAAAACACCTATCCGTCGATAAGAAATACGATTTTTTTAGGGGAGGCGTTTAACCCAGGGGTGCGTCTTCCCCACAGTTACCCTAACGATCAGACAATCGTTCATCAAACTACCTGCTAGGAAAAGCTATGTATACTTAGGCGGTGTAGACATATATATCCAACATATAGGGTATATCCGGCATCTAGGTCCAACACATGTATATGTGTTGAATGTAGATGCTTCCATATACCTGAGTACGAAGCAGAAAGTATGAAACAGAAAAGGTTGTTAACTTGTTGCACTGGTAGGTCAACACATAACCTATACCTAAGTAAGTACCTACGTGTAATGTATGTCATAATTCCATACCCCTGATGGCATCTTCGGCATGCCAACTTAGGTAAACATGTTACTAACTAAAATGCATGCTTGAAAATGAATAAATCTAGATAAAATATTAAATAAAGTAATTGCAGTAAAACAAGTGGAACCATTCCGTACTTAATCATCAAGCGGGTAAATAGATAAATAGAAAATAAAAAGATAAAATGCACCTTTAGACTTAAAGGTAAGTAACTAATGCAAAGCATGATATAAACTGATCCCACAGTTTTAAATCAGCATGCAAAACAGACAATAAATGCCTATTTTAACAAAAGATTAATGATTTAATTAATCTGGTCGATAGAGTGCATGCCTTTCCGAATTCACACCATTTCTATTTAGGTATACCTCCTAATAAATAAAAGTGTGTAGAGATTTTAAATAAGCGAATGCTTCGCAAACGATAAAACTAACATTAAAAAGTATAAAGTATTGATAACGTTACATTATCTGTGACGTATTAAACATACTGTACAGCCCTCTGCAGACTGCGTGGTAGGTATTCTTTTTTCGCCAAAACCGATAATAACTCAAAGGCTAAGTTATCAGTCGGTCGGATCTCATTGCATATAGATGCACCATGCTCCACTCCTTCGATTGGGTATAACGGGTGTCAAGTCCAAAATGAGACAAAATTGAAGTCGCTCTATTTTCAATCTGCCTTTAGATATTCACTTGAAATTTTGACAGAGTGTCCATGCGTTAATTGCACGTTCATGATGTTAAAATATTTTGGCTACGTATTGAGGTCAGTCGTCATGAGCCCTTTGAGCAAGCAAGCCGAAAGAGACATTGTCGCGAGAGTAATTGCTAAAAACCCGAACTTGACTAAGGCTCAGGTTTTCCGCCACGTTAAACCATTTGGTGTTCCACGATCGACTATATATCGCGCCATCAATACATTCCTATACAAAGGACACGTAAGACGAGCTCAAAATGGCAGGCCTGCTCCCAAAATGTCAGCAAAGAGGCGCCAAGACCTTGTTCGCATGGTAAACGGCATAGTCGGCGTCTCACTTCGTCTCTTAGGCCGCCGCTTTAAAAAAATAATGCATGAGAGAGTAAGACAAATTCTCAGAGAGGAAGAGGTAAGATATGGGATGCGCCAGAGAGCTCCTCAGGAGTCGGCTCAGCAAGAAAAATCTCAAAAACGGCCGCCTGCGACGCCTTAGCCGGGGAAAATTGAGTGCCACTCAAGAACAAGATGTTATCATGGACGATGAAAGATTATTCACTTATACTGGCTCAGAAATGCCATAAACCGTTGTTTTTACGCTGGGCCTGTTGAAGACACACCTCGAATGTGAAGTACCGTCCGATTGGGAAATTCCCAGGTAAGTTTCTTGTGTGGATAGCCATATCACCCAAAGGAGAATCAAAACCAAAAATTTACCCCAGTTCAACGAATGTGAACGCCCATGTCTACATCACAAAGTGCCTGAACAGCAAACTAAAATCGTTCATCGAGGCCAACAACCCAAGGGGTGAATATGTATTTTGGTCAGACTTTGCTTCAGCCCATTATGCACGTGCCACGTGCCAGTTTCTGGAGGAGGTTGGCATACCATATTTAAGCCGCGAGGAAAAAACCCCGAATGTCCCGCAACTGAGACCAATAGAGGACTTCTGCGGCATACTTATACAAGAAGTTTACCATGGTGGCTGGACAGCGTCATCCGATCAGCTGCTGCGTGCCAGAATCCTGAGCAGCATCAAGAAAATTGACCCGGAGGTGCCGCGATCGATGATGAAGAAAGTGGGAGAGCGCGTGCATCTGGCAGACAGGCACGGACCCCTGGTGCAGATTCACTAGTACCAGTGGACTGGCGACAGATCGAAG